TGATTTTTATTTTGAACTCTCTTTCAGGCAGATTGGTGAGTTGAGTTTCATTTGACCCTTTTTCTGGGGTTTGTGAGATTTTGGTCTGAACCATGTTCTTTTGACATTTCATATTTCTGTGTGGTGCCCACTAGTGCCCAGAAACTCCAGTCTCTGGAGCTGTTCAGCCCCTAGAGTGAGGTTGGGGGTTTGTAGGGGTGCAGAGTTGGTGCCTGGGTTGAGAAAAGATCTGTTTCCTGATTCCCGTCTATAGTGCCTGTCTCCAGTATCAGAGCCAGTGGGCCGAGCACACAGGTGTAAGCCTCTGTTCTTTGTGTCTCTAGCTGTTGTAGGTGGGGCCTCCCTCTGGCTGGCCTGATGCCAGCACAGTGACTGCAGATTTGTGAACCGGTGTTGACAGGCTAGGGGAATGTGCAGCAGGCTGCGTGTCACAGTGACAGGCCTTGGAGCTAAGCAGGCAGCCAGGGGGTTGGGGCACCTGAAGCTCCTCAAAGTTCCCAACCAGCTGGGCAGAGCACACCCAGACAACCTTGTCCAGCTTTCCCCTCCCCTGCATAGCAAGCTCTGTGCAAACCCTGCTCCTTCAGCAGCCCTCTCACTGCTAGGAAGACTCTCAGACTGCCTGTCTTTCCCTTCTTCCAGAGTGGCTGTGTATGGATCCCCTCCTCCACAAATGACCAGAATTTGTCTCTCAAGCACTCCACCTGTCTGAGCTCCCCAACATCTACAGCACCACACAGTGTAGGTTTTGCTCCCAAAACAGACCTCCAGGGATAGGTGTTCAGCAGTCCCAGGCTTCCACCCCTTTCCCAGCTCTGTTTCTCTTCCTCCCACTGGTGAGCTGGGATGGGGGAAGGGCTTGGGTCCTGCCTGATTAAGGCTTTCGTACGTTACCCTGTTTTGTGAGGTCTGCTCTGTTAGTAAGGTCTATATGCAGTCTGGTTCAGCCTTCTTTATTGTTGTTTTAGGGTTAGTTGTATCATTTAACTACATTTTCATACTATCTGTGGTTTTGGGAGGAATTCTCTGTCTCACCTCTCATGCCGCCATCTTGAATCCTCCCTCTTTGGTTTCATCTTTAAGTGGTCATAAACATACAGGTATGTATGTATGTTTAT